TCTGTGTTAATTGGTTTCCCTTTTCTTTGTTGAAGAGGGTCTGTGCAATCCTTCTGCCTAGTCCGCCATCTTGCCCCGCCTCCACTTTATCAATTCTTAACCTTGTACCATATTTGCTTCAGATCCTTTTCTTTTTAAAAAAATTAAAATTACAGATTCCATCAAGGCCATCTGTGTGTCCATTCCTCACATCCTCCTTCTGCTCCCCTTTCCCAGGGGTAACTGCTCTTGAGACTGAATTCCAATTTGTCTTTGTGCCCCTGTGTCAGTCATCACTGCTCTGGGATAGGTATCGCCTTCCACGAGGCAGCTCCTTGTGGTGAAGGGTAATGCCTGTATAGGTCACAGCTGTGAATCCCCAGCAGCTGATATTCCCAGCAGCCTGGGGAGGGTGCCTTGGCCCTGAAGAGGGTACCTGGGTGGTGCACCACAATGTCCACTACCCTGGGTTATTCTGCACAGTTTAAGGTTGAAAGATTCTGACAAATTGGCTTCATAGCTCTCGATTGAGTTCTCACTTGCAATTGTTGACATTTACTGCCATTTTCCACTGACACTTTTTTAATGGCAAGTCTGTGATGAAAAGGTAGCATGGTCAGTCTTTTCAGATCTGGGGAGCTTAGTCCATAGTCATTCACTTGGTATATCCAGTGGACAAGTAGATGAGAAATAGCAGTGTTGTTGCTAAGATTAGATGAAAAGGAATTCACTGACTACTCCTCACTTATCAACATACGTATAGCTTTCCTGTACTAACTGATTTCCTGCCAGTTCTTATTTCCAATTTGTAGTCATTTCTAAATATTTGTATGTATAAGCACATCTAGGGGCAATTCTAATTTTCCTTTTGCTAAATATAACGTACAAAATAAAAAGCTGGGCTATCTCCATAATAATTTATCACTTGTTCATTTGTATTCCTGTGCGGAATAAAAAAGGGGGGCATGTAGCACACACAGAGGGAACTGAACTCATCCCCTCAAGAGTGTGTTCCATAGGCCCCTGTCATCTTCATGTATATCTCAGCAGGAAAATGGGTGAGGATGCCCTGATCTGGCTGCCCATGGACTTGTTTTCAATGACACCTAATCATGGTGGCTTTATGACAAAGTCTACTCTTTCATACTGAATATGAATTTCCACTAGTAATGCAAGTCCCACAAGGCAGAGTTTTACCTTCCCCCCACCACCACTATGTCCTCAACACCTGTGGGTAGTGGTGGTTCAGTGGTACAATTCTCATCTTCCGTGCAAGAGAGCCAAGTTCGATTCTCCACCAATGCCCCTCCGTGCAGCCACCACCCATCTGTCAGTGGAGGCCTGCGTGCTGCAGTGATGCTGAATAGGTTTCAGTAGAGATTCCAGACTAAAGCAGATCAGGAGGAAAATCCTGGCGATCTACTCTCCAAAACCAGCCGATGAAACCCTATGGGTCAAATGGTATGACCCCATTGTTTATGGGGTTGCCATGAGTTGGAAGCCAACTCGACGGCAGCTAACAACATCATTAGAACATAATAGGTGCTCAGTGAATATTTGTTGACTCAATGAATAAACAAATGAATCAATTCTGTGAATTACGTATCATATTCCATAAAAACAACAAGAACTTATTGGTATCTCATCTAATAGAGCATTTGTCTATCAAATCTTTATTAGTGAGGCAAAAGATGACTGTGTGTGTTCAGTCTCAGTAGAGCATGGTCTAATACAAGTCTGCTTAGGTCACCTAATACTCTAGGGGAAAGAAACCTTGTTTGACTCACTGTTTGTTAACAGTTTGGGTCTAGACTCTGGGCTGGATGCTCCCCTGCAGAAGACAGTTTAGTGATAAATAATTTCTGTCCTGATAAGAGATGATGATCCCAAAGGTCATTGCTCTGTTGTTGTTGTTGTTATGTGCCGTCGAGTCAGCCCTGACCCATAGCGACCCCTCCTTGGGTTTCCGAGGCAGTATCACTACGGAAGTAGGATTG